ACCGGCGCTGACCGGCGATAGGGCTGCTGCTGGCTCCCGCTTCCGTTTCACTGATGGGCTCTGCGCCGCACCTTCGGCCTGACAGGCTCAGACTCTGCAATCGCCTCTGTCCCCATCAAATCTTTGCAATTTCTCTGCGTAAAATGAATTTTAAATCACAGAATCATTTCGTTTCGACGACTGGGTCAGCAGTCCACAGTGGCGCTTCATGGCATCTCCATTTTGTCCAGTATTTTATCACTGAACAGGCTTTGGCAAGCAAAGGACTGAGCCCTGCCCCTGTCCCAGAGCAGGCACGGTGAGTGCTCGTGGCTAGACTGAAGAGAASTCTGGCTATGCATTGGAAGGTCTTTGGGTCGTCTCTGCAGCCCATTTTGGTGGCAACAGTTTTCCACTGCTTGGGTAGTGTCTAAACATAGTAAAAGCCCTAATAACTGGCAGTGTGCCATCTGCTTTGTGTTGAAGGGGGCTGAGTCTGAACATGACCAAAATACACATTTCAAAACCCTRTTCCTGCTTTGATAGAAGTACATCTCATAGCCCATGCGGCACTGACAAAAGGCCACTGTGCTACATCTGCTCCAGTGCCTGGACAGCAAGTGACAGCCATGAACAAGTTGCTTTGCACAACAAAGAAAATCCTGTGAAAACCAGTTTAGAAGCCTGAAACAAGACTGAGACTAGAGTTATGATTTCATTGTGTACAACAGATGGAGACTTTAGAGCACAGAGCCACTAATCTATGGATTACAGACTCCTTAATTATAGACTAACATTTAACACTTATGAGAGGCACTTCACCAACACAGGGATCTTGCAAGTCTGTGCTCAACAACTGAATGTCATTTTAGGGATAACTAGGGAAGGCACAAAGATTGAAAAATGTCACTGTACCATCTTCTTGCTCATTTGTATCTTCAAATGCTGCATAGARTTCTGGTCTGCTGCAGATCTTGAAACTAGGAGGTGTCTAGTGGGCTTGATGTGCCCTTAAAATGCAGGACCCCAGCTGAACTGATGCCTTATCAATCAGGCTAATCTGAAATAGAGGCCAGACAAACTTCAGAGAATGAGAATAGACAACTTTAATACAGGCCTAACAGTCCTACGGGTACATTAGGGCAGACAAGGCCTCCTCCTCCCGAGGCTGCACCCAAAATGGACCCCAAGTCACGAGTCATCTTTGATAAGTTCTGCCTTATTAACATATTGGGTCTTAATTCTCCAATGATCTTTTCAGGTGATGATGTCAACCACCCCAAACTTGCTCCCCCCAACTCACTGTTGTTTCCATATTTTGGGGCTCTGAGGCAGCGAGGTGTCCTTGGATTCATGCTCAGAGAGGGATTGTTTCGTCTAAAGATGGGAGAACGGTGGTGTTTAGTGCTGTACTGGAGAAGTAAAAGAATACAGAATGCATGAATGCATGAAAATGAAAGAATGCATGAAAATATAGAAACTAAAAATCCTAAGGCATCAGAATGAAACAGGCTCATTCACATCAGGCACTCCCTTGGGGACTGATTGGCTGTCAGTCAGTCACATTTCTCAATATAAAAAGAGAGCCTCCAAAAACCAGTAACAAATCTTCAGCATYTCCAAATACAAACCTCATTACTGACCATAATACTAATCCCAGTATGGTCCCGTTTTATTGAGTTCTGGCCTTGGAGCAGATAAAAACACWATTGCCACTCCTTTGTGCCTATTTTGGTCTCAGTCAGTTGTACAATAATCCATGTACCGAGATGTACAGAGCCCATAAAACTAGCTCTACACTTAACTGATACATTTGGGYCCTGGGACACAAGAACTAAAATAAATTGGCAACCAAGCAGATAACCCCATTGTCATGGGCCTAACAAGGGTCGTCTATAAACTAAGGTCAACAACTCCTTTATTCCASATCCCTAACACTAAGAATGCTAATCCACACTGTCAGCCTGTCTGTCTCCACATCATTTGCTGTTTCCAGATCTAAGCRACATGATAATGACTGGGAGACAAAACAGCTTTGGCATCAAAGAACCTGGAGAACCTGCCTAGAGCATGCAGGGCTTTGAGTCCAAAACCCTAACTGACACCTGGTCACTAACMGTGTCTCCTGTCATACCTAAATCAACAAAACTCTTTCGTTTACTTCWGGCCTTATACTGTATCGATTTTCCTCCAAAGCAGCAGCAAATGCACTGACAGGCAMGCAGACCAGGATTTTCAGTCACAGCCTGGTTCTTATGGTACTTACACAGCTTCTTTCATGAATTATACCATGSCATGCAGGGCCATGACAAAAATACACAAACGACAGCTCTGTCTTCTTCACCAGCCTGGCCAAAGTATATTTGACKGATTGCCTCCTCACTGTCACAAGGAACCATAGAAACAAAAAAACAAACATAATCCCTTTAAATCCACTGTAATTCTATTCCACTGTCATCTAACTACTCATTATAGGCTTGTAATCACTGGCACATAATCATAATCACTAATTATCTCTAGATACACCACCTGGTTTTGCATCAGTATGTTCTGAAGCCACAGGCAGGGTGGTTGAAGGCAAGGACACTTTAGGTCTACAATTGTTGGTTAGGTCAAATGCAACACCATGGAAACAAGGAAATCACAGYTTAGTCCTCAAAGTCATTTCTAGAAATAAAAGCAGGCACAGAGGAGAGTAGTTGGATGAGATGAGCTGGAATGAGACTCACAACAGCAGAACATGCTTGGAAGTAAGCATGCATTTGCCATCACAACAGAAGCCAAACACAGAGTGAGAGCAGCCAAGCCAGACTTCACACTTTAGGGAAGATGCTGGATGGTGCCATACAAGGAGCAGGGAACAAACAGGACCAGGTGGAAATAAACTGATTTTGAGAGGCAGAACATGAACTCAGAGGAAGCAGGCTGACTGCTCTTGAAGTGAATCTTGTCGCATATGTCTGGCAGAATATTCTGGGCTTCAAACTTACACAGAATGTGTGTTTTCTTACATAAATCCATATCATCCAGGCCCTAACGGTCCACTCCATACCAAGGCAGACAGCTGTTATGCTGGCTAAAATCTCACCATTCCTGAAACCATGATCCTGAACAAACCCATTGACATGCAAACAGAAGATGTCTGTAAGTTTATTTGGGTTTTCCTAGAAATCTGGAGTYACATCTCTGCATTGGTCCATCTTAACATAAGGTGGCTGAAGCTTACCTCATGCAGAACCTCCAGGGTCACCACTTGTTCCTCCTTGTTAGTTCAGGTGGGTCCAACAGACTCAAGCCAGGCTGCAATATTTGGGGGCTCATACTGATGATCTGAGCTTGTGACCCTCTTGAAAACATTACTTCTGCCTTGTGGGAGCTTTGCATCTGGTGCCTTTTGTCCCTAACAACTTTGTAACTGAGTGACCGGTTTGCATCTGACTGCGAGGCCTGCAGTGCCGCAGGAGTCCTTGGACACTGAGGAGAAGATATTAGTCCTTCCTTGGAGGACCTGGAAAGAGAGAAGGAGAGTCCAGATTCTCCACAGGGCAGTTTTCAGAACTCTTTTTTCACAATTATTTTTTAACATGCTAACTAGCAGCTCATTTCAGGAGGAAAAAAAAATACCCCACATGCTGAAGTGATGGAATTTTCCACAGGGTTTTGTTCAGCACTAAACAAATCTGGRAGCAAAAAGCATTACTGCATTTCAGAAATATTCTTGGAATAACAGGCCACAGAAGATTGTAACTTCCAGCTGTTCGTCAGATTTGTGGTCTGTTAGTATGAAAGACTGACAGTATGCTGAAGTCAGACTGTGTATATTGCTTGAAGTTCCTCCCTCCAACAATRCAATAGCATTCTGCAGCAGAAATTACCACACTATGAACCCGCTTTCCCTGTGGCTTTGGCATGGAAYGGTGAACAAGCTTTTGACAGAGTCAAATGCTTTGCCTTTCTGACTCTGCAGTGGTTTGGCTTTGGTAAAGGGTTTTACTGAAGACAACACCCTGCACACAGCAATTCCCCAAGGACTGATATGCAGAGCGGCCTGGAGGAYCACAAAGGTCTGTCTCATCTTCTAACATGCTATGTCTGAAAGTTTAGAAACTGGAGTTTCTGCTGATGGATGCATCAGCCACTGGTCCTCCCCAGCTGATTGAGGCTGCCTGCCCTTCACAAACGGGCTGTTTCTTGGGGAAAAGAGAGTTCACCCATCTCTGACCTCTGCCTCTAAATGTAAGYRGGACAATCAGATTTTCTTGGCTCYTTCACTGTTTCTTCTGCATTTTTACTTAGCCTGACTTTCCCTGGGGCAYATGAAAGGCAGTGCCAGGGGCTGTCCTGATGTTGCTGCAAGAATTATAGTAGAACAACCCTTTTTGTCTGGCAGCCTCCAAAAGCAGGACACACTTGTAAATCATGATTGCAGARTATGAGAAGGCAGCTGTCACTTTGCATGAAACAAGACAATTYGAACTTACTTTGCAACTTATCATGCTTGTAATGAAGGGATGCAGTTTTATCAAATAATGTAGGAATCATATGGGGGTGAAGAAATCAGTGTTAACCTGCCACTACCACTTCCCTGCTGCTTCCCAGTGCTTCTCCACTGAACTACAGACCTTAGAAGAAAATGAGCTATGAAAGCTGACGTGCATTTGTCATGCCCAAAATCTTATGSTGTCATTACATACTCTACATGTAAAATCAAAGATCTGCTTCCCCCATGACCCACAGGAAAACCAGTGTAAAAGCAYTCTGTATGGATTTGACATCAGGGAAGGAAATGTCCTCACTCRGGGCATGGCTCAAACTTGTCAGCATTGATGAAGGAGGGTGTAAAATCTCACCTAATGTCAACAGTCTTTCCTTCAAATAACAAYATTCTCTAAGTCTAATGAGCATTGTAGTCACAGCTATGGAGCCTGAGATGTTTCCTGGTGTAATGAGCAACTTTCAGGGACACGGGCAGCATTATCTGAACAAGAAGTCACAATCTGGCACATGCTTCATGTTTTTAAAACATTTTCTATTTTTATTATAAATAGAATAATATTGCACAAARCATATGGGAGCTGGGAACCAGCACAGAAGTTTGCCAGCAGAGGAGGCAGAGATTTTCCAATTAAAAAACTGCCCACTACCCTGACAAGTGGAAAATGAATGAGCAAAGTCATCAGAAAATACCCATCAGAGAACAACAATGCCTTGGCAGTGACAGGCCAGATGACTTCATTTGACTTCTCTGTCAATACCTTTGATATCTGAATGATTTAGGCAATTTAAATTCCTCTTCAGACATTTAAAAGATAACAGTAAGGTGAYAGTGTCATGGAGAAAACGCTTGAGAAAGTTAGGCGCTGTGCCTCTCACTGGACACACAGTGCTCAGAGCCTGCGGTAACCTCAGCCCCTCCTCGGGCAGCAGCGGCCAGTGAGGACAAAGAAAACCAGCACGGGGGTTTGAGAGCACGGAAAAAAACGTGCGCCCCAGACGGGATGATTATGTCCCATCTTATTTACTAATCCTTTTACAAAAGGGGATTTGCTTAAAGACCAYTTCCCAGAAGGCTGCACCATTCCTCCATTCATAACCAGAGGGGCTCACCTGGTAACACGACTGATTCCCATTTCTCAGTGTGCCTTAAACTGTTCTTACTCAACTAGAAAGACATGAATCAGAAGCTTGCCACTACACAACTTRTCATAAAACAAATGCTGCTCCCTAGATCAGAAAAGCAGCCTATTTCTATTCCTTCATGATCCAACCAGCAGTGCCCATCTGACAGGCGCAGCTCAGATTCCTGACCCGTGAGGACCAGCACTCCTGTTCTAGGGTCAGGATGTGAACCCAGCCCTCGAGCCCAGGAAAGCCCTGCAGGACTGACAGYTGGCTTTGGTGGGTCCTGTGGCAGCACAAAGCACATGAGCTCACATGCCTACCATCTCCATCTTCTCTGGCCTCAGGCAGGGGAAACAGCCTTCCCACTGCATCCCTTCCCTGATCTCTATCTTCCATCTAGTTTGTRTAGAGAAGCAAGAGAAGAGCTGGTTTGCGAGCAGGGTTTGAAGTTGCACCACTCATGACTGCCTTACATTTTTGTGCATGAGCATATAAACACGTGATTTAAAGAAAATTTCCTTAACTACAGGGGGAAGACAGTTTGTCATTGTGTAATTAAAAGCTTCACATCTGATCCAAGACATACATATACATAAATATAAATAATGCATTCTGCTGCGCTCAAAAGCARCTGTGCAGTGAACACACACTGAACCCAAACTTCTATTTTCATGGTATTCTTGAACTAGTAGCCTTACAACACCTAACAAAAAAGATCGTAAAAAYGAATGGCAATCTGAGAAGTAAAAATCAAGAATTGTCTTTTGTGCAATGAATAACTTCATTACTAGTTAGATTTTAAAGCTTTCACTTCCCAGAGGAGCCCTGTACTCCTTTACTGGTGCAGCTAATGTCAGTGCAACCATCTATGTAGCAAGGCACTAGGAAAGATAAACACTGGAATCAAGATTTAAATAACTATTGCTATTAAAGTACAATGCTGAAACTTTCGTACATTTGCAGAATCAAACCCAAYGCCAGGCCCTGTTCCAGAGAATTTAATTTCCCATAAATTTGCACAGCCATATAGACATATCCCAAGCAAAACAAGCGGTTCACTCTAGCTCCCTGTGGTCAGTGCACACAGGCACTGGGCAGCCTGCAGTGCAGGGGCATGCTGTTCCTCCCAGGAAAAGTCCCACTCCTCACCTGCTGTTCTGGGCCCCAAGGAGGCAGGGGCTCAGCTGCCTGTGTGAAGCATGCACRCCCCACTTGTGAGGGGCAGAAGCTGCCCGAGTGGGGCTTTATCTTCTACTCAGTGGATCTCACTTGCAGCTGGAGGAGGATGAATTCCTTTATGCAAAGGCAGTCTATYAGGAAAGTAAAGGACTGGTAGGCAGCTGCTTTGTGTGCATTTGCCTGGCCAGTACTGGTGGTCTTGCTGCTCAGCATACAGTTACTGAGGAAGAGCATTTGCCTGAAGGAGTAGGAAAAAAAACAACTCCGAAACAAACATCTTCTGGCTATTTGAAGGGATACTTGCTTCCCTAGCTGCCAGCCACTGCTGCTGCTCCTGCACCTGAAACATGACAGCGTGGGACTCTTCTCCTGTCAGGTGGGGTTCTGGTGCAGGCATGACTCTCATGGTGCTGAGCATCATGAAGCCACAATGCTGGGACAGCTGTATATTACAGGTCAAGAACTCAGGAACAAACCAAATGCAATCCTCTGTGGTTAGAGAACGTAAGGGCATACACTGACTAGCATTTTACTGTGCTGCAAAACAGAATGCTGCATTTCAAGTTTGCAGATGCACTATTTGTTTAGTGCATCCTCCCTTCKAACCCTTTAGACCTGAATAATTAGTAAAAAATTCAAGTTACTGTAGATAATTCCACACAGATGGAGAAAAAACAGACTGAGTTAATGACACTGGTACAAATTAAGTTACAAAAGCAGACTGCTTCCCAGTGTGCAAAAGGAGGGAAACGATCCCAAGCCATTTCCTCCCACACAGCCTCAAGCCACAGCCAGCCAGTGCCGCCAGGCTTAATCACAGGGTCATTTTCCTCCATGACGAGTCAGGCTCCATGTGGATTTGCCTTAAGAACCATCAACCCTTGGAGGACTGGCAGAGATAATGGCCCTGCTTTGTTTTTGCAGAAAAAGTTGAAAAAAGCATGACTGACAACATCTCATGACACAAAAATGTGGTGTGAGGAATCACTTGATAGGATATTGAGCCCAGGTACCATGAAMACTTGTTCTAGATAAAGAAATGAGCACTTGGCAAAACAATTTTAGTCAAAGCTCCGGTTTTGGTGCTCATGATAGATTTCACAGGCTGCTTATCCTTATACAGCCATTAGCATTTGTAAGACAGTCTTGGCTGTTCCTCYGTCCTTCGGGCCTCCAGTACATTTGAAATAAAGTTACCACGGAGCTCTAAAAGCAACACCTTAAACTAGCCAACACACTAGCGTGCTTGTTTGTGCGGCCGGCCTGGTGTTTTTTGCGTGACAGCATCACCCGTGCTCGCGTTTGGCAGCAGGGAAATCTTTGTGCAGTGGAAACTGCTTGTGTCTACTGCAGCGGCGCCCGGACCGCAGTGCCTGTGCAGGGAGCRTGGCCCAAACAGAACGAGGCAGGGCGCCGGGTTTGTGAGCGAACGCTGGTTTGTGAGCAGCGTCCACGGAGGGGCGAGGGCAAAACTGTGCCCCGGCTGTCGGGGCTGCTGCCGGTGTGCCCGGGCACGGCCCACATGCCGAGCATGCCCCGTGTCCGCTCCGTCCTGACGGCTGCAGCGTCCCGGGAAGGCAACCCGGACCGCAGGAAAAACCGGCCCCGGCAGCGACCGGGCGGCACCCAGCATGTCCCACCGGCCCTCAGCCTCCCAGCGGGCCCGCCCCGCCCCACCCCGTCCCATCCCATCCCGCCCCGTCC